TCAAATTGTATGTCCTTAACAATATTGACGACTCTTGGGATGAAAGATGCAGTTTGATTCATTCATTGGCTCTACTATATCTTGCGCTAAATTTGTAATACAATTCGTTACTGTGTCTTCTGTACAATCCTCTATGGACCTGAAATATCTAGGGTCATTTCGGTATACTTTAAGCTGTTCAGCGTCAACGTTCGTTATCATACAAAACAAACTATGGTTAAAACGAGGCTTACACCTAATCAGTATATGTTTGCCACAGTCTGCAGATATCAAGATGGCAGAGCTGGTGGAGGTACGTGACGACAAAGGACATTTTATGAAAATGAAGAAGTATGATGGCAGGTACTATGTTAATCATTTCATCGGAAATGTCAAGGATCACCTTGCTGCAATAGAAGCTATGAATGTAAGAGACGATGATACGTTCGTCGTATCATACCCAAAGTCAGGTTTGTATATTTGTCTATTTGCTGCGTCGAATATGCATATCAATTATTATAAACTTCATCCTGGAACATGCTATTATTTCAAGGAGAAAATATGCGTTTTAGCACACATGGGCCGAACACCATTTTGCGAAGCCATGTTGAAGTATTCGAAAACAATTGTAATATTTTACAACAGTGTTTAAAGTGCATGTCTTTCTGCAGTCCGGGCACATACCAAATATTTTAAAATCCACGTGTATTGATTGAATTTTTTTTTACCTGCGATAACACCAAACCTGTCTTATCAAATGTCCACATTAGTGCCCTCTAATGTTGATTTTAACCAGCGTATCTGTTATGTAAACTGAATTGACAACTTTAATTTTCTCTGAAAAAAAAGAGATAATTCCTAATTGGTAAATGTAAAAACATTGATTTATCCATAGATGATCAATTCTAAATGAATGAACATATGTCTGTCCGTCTGAATGTCTGTCTTTCTGCCACGCCGTCTGTCTTTCTGTCAGGCAGTCTGTCTATACGTATGTATGTACCTGTACGTATGTAAATGAAATGTGTGCTAGTACATTCTTGCAGATGGATTGGAGAATGAATGGATGCTTTGTATTAATGTTTTTACCGTTTTTTATTGAGGCCCCTGTCATCACTAACGAGTACGTAAAGGAAGAAACCACTGTATGATGCAGTTTCTAACATCTTTATACTAAACGAAAGGTACTTTTCATTGGATGGGGGATGAGGGGGGGGGGGGGGGATTGTCAGCGCGATAGTTCAGTGAGCTAGAGCGCAGTATTGGTAGGCTGTAGGACATAACCCGATATGGTTTCTTTATCTGATATGGTGGTCATAAGATAGTGGTCCTCTTTCTGTTAGTCCACCTGAGATGTGATGCTGATCTCATTCTGTGTTGGTGAGAGTGTCTTCTTTGATGACCTTGGAGATGACCTTGAAATCACATTCCAGAGAAGTTTGAATGAAATAGAAGAACCTACCTCGAATGACTCTTATAGTTTTAAATTAAAACCATTATTAACAGGGATATAAGATGACCATTTGATAAAAGGCAATATTGTTTTCTCCAGACTAATTACTAGCGCCACAGGGCAGCGTTCCTCAATCCTGATGTTAATTCCACACTTCAAGATTTACATGCCTACCGAAAGAAACTGCAAATTTTCCAAAGAAGAAATATTGGCTAATCATACTCCGGTATTAAAATAATTTAGATTGATAATGATTAATGATAAGGATACGGACCTCGCCCGTTTACACTGGATTCCTGAACTTCACATAGACAACGTTTTATTGATGGCTCGTCTGGCTGTTCAACCAAAACTTTGTTCAAACTACTAACTACCATTATTAACACTATCAAATCTGAGTAACAGTGATATTGTATACACAAAAAGTGGAATTAAAGATGCGTGTATTTTAAAGAACTTTTAACAATTCTTCCACGCCCTCTTCTATTTTAGAATTTCTTCCATAAGAGCATTTTATTTTTTTCACTCTGTACAATATCCCATTCTAAACTGAAAGAACGCTTTCATTCTTGTGTAATGATAGCTTTCTTCACCAAGAAAGGTGAACGACGATACAGATATATGGTTGTGAACTATACTGAAGCATATTTTAAGAAAAATACGTCCAAATTAAAGACGAAATGAACCGATGACAAAATAATAAAACTAATTGATTAATTTGGTGGTAAGATATCCCAACAGACTATTAACATACATTTAGTATTAATTGTGCTGTGTGATTTGTTTTTGTTTTCTTACAAGGATGAAATTACCAAATCGTGTCACGAAGACCTTGCAAAGTAGTTTCATTTCACTTTCAGTTATATCGATAACGTCTTGTCTTTAATTAACTAATATACTCACCAGCATTGAAAATCAAGGACACAAGTCGTTTCTACATTGGTTGATTTCCCGATCTTTTCCTACAACGAAACTACCACGGAGAGCTTTTCAATAAGCTGTATGATATTCGTGATAATTCTAATTTCCATATTGTGAATTTTCCCTTTCTTGGTAGCATTTCCTCCTCAACCTACGGCATTTACATGTCGTAGTTGCTTCAATATTCCAGGGCATGTTCCCGTTATCACGATTTCCTGCAAGAAGTCGTCAGCTGATGGACAAACTTGTAACACAAAGTTTCAAACTATTCGTGTTAATGTAAATCGTGGCGAAGTTTTGCGGTTGTCATAGTGACCTCATACACAAGCATTTTATTTCTTTGTGTGATATGGAAGCTTGACGTGCTTGATACTCGTAAGTTTGTTTGATGGTTCCGTTGTTGTATACCTTGTTCTCATTTGAGAACGTAATAATAAATGATAATCAAGATTTACATGGTGGGTGTAGTCTAAGTAGGAGAATATACTTATTCTTTCTTTGGTATTTTCTTGCCGTGTTTTATCTAACCTTTGTCTTGCTTTTTTTTTTTTTTTTTTTAAACAAAATGCATATTACAATACACAAATACTAACAATAGTCAATCGACGTTATTCACATTACACACCAACCCACACATATTAAGCAACATCTATACTTTTAACTTCAGTGTGTTGGATGTAAATAAAATGCTTTATTCCCCTAGGAACCCACTGGACCTACACAATAGTCAACATGCTTCGTAAAGAGGAGACAACTTACCCTGGATCACTAACGTTTTTAGATTATACTGACATGGAGACACTCGATAATCTTCCGTCCCCTAGAGTATTCGCGACTCATATGACCTTTGACCTTTTACCGAAACAAGTCAAAGAGGGAAAAGGCAAGATTGTGACAGTATTTCGGAACCCGAAGGACGTCTTCACATCATTAGAACTATTCGCAAGGAAAATGGATCACGAAGAAATGAAAAAAAATTACAACACGACATGGGAGAGTTTTTTTGAATTTTTCATGGACGGTAGAAGTAAGTGTCTGAGCACACCTCTGTAAAGGTGCCACGTTTGAATTCATTCGAATAAAGGATCGTTTATATACATGTACAGCGCATTTTTTTGAAATAATCCAGTATTGATATCAGTTCAATCATCGTTTTTTTTTTTTAATTTTTTGATGGTTTCTACTCATTTTGATTTCTAGTGGCGCCTTTGAGTTTTTTTTTTAAATTTAGTATGATTAACGAGTCATAGAAAGACGAAACAGCTGTGTGATACAGCTCGACTACACTGAATCTAACATGTATAGAAAAGTACCATCTACTTGTGTGACTTTTGTGAAATCATTTGATTTTCGTTCTTCCTACTTCAGGTTGAGATTGATAGAGAACCGTTTGATTTATAGAATTGTTCTATAAGGATACTTCATCTTGCGTTAAACACGTTCTCGTTATTTTTTTTCTTGCAAATACGAATGTTCTACATTATGTAGTTATTGCTGTGCTTTATCGAATATCATGAAATAATATTTGATACATAAAACAAAATGTAAAAAATGTAAAAAAAAAATAAATAAAATAATAAAAAAAAAAAAATAAATAAAATAAAAAAAGAATAAAAAAACAAAAAAAAATAAAAAAAACTTTGCACAAAAAATAAACCATAAGAAAGCTATCATGGAAAATATTAGAACTTAAAAATGTGATTGGGATATTCATTTCATCAATAAAATCAGTCTTGTGCGTCTGCATTACATCGAGGCAGTAAGAAATACTTGAAGAGGGCATTATATATATTGATAATGGATGATTAATGGATTCAGGATTCATGGACCTCATATTTGGATATTTTTGATGATCGTATCAAAATCAATTTGTTATAAAAGAATTAATTTCAGGTTGTTTTCTATAGTCCCTGTTTTGAGTAAACACAATAATAAAAAATATGTAAAATAGAAAATATGATTCATTCAGAACTTGAAGTCTCATAAATAATAAATTCAGTTTCACATCATACTTTGATAGTTTTTACTTTAGGAGTTTTTGACGGTGTATGTACTTTTTTATTAATCCAGTTTTCTACGGTTCCTGGTTTGATCACATACAGAGTTGGGATAAAGTGAGACGAGAACACAAGGGAAACAACATACAGTATCTCATCTACGAGGACATGAAACAGGTCAGTTTTATCGATCTTCAGGTCAATCAAGAAATCGAAAATCAGGTTAGATATAAGCACACAGACGATCAACGCGCTGACAGCAGAAATATTCTGATAAGTCAAATGCGCGTTAATATATGTTAATTTTTCGATAACGTGATTCTCACTGAATTTTTCACAGTAGTTTCATAGGTTTCTAAACTTAGTATGAGAAAGACAAAAAATATGAACGATTTTAACAGAATAATTGACACAGCAGTATCTATAATTATAAATTTGTATTAAATGGTGCAGTCCATTTGTTTCTTTTGTAAATCTTTGATCAAGTATGAAGTAGAAATCAATTCCTCTTTTGAAATCTTTGTTCTAATTTTCTTATTTACTAGTATGATCGTGTAAAGTTTACTGTCCTTTATGTATATGTCCTCATTCAATTAACAATGATAACATGATGGTAATCTTTGATGGTGATTTATCACGTGATTGACGTATAAGTCTAGGAATACACCTCTATCGTGTTATGGAATCTAATGTCAGAGGAAGATAATAAAATGACGCCACATATTCATATATATTGGAGACTAAGGCCAGGGTGATAAATAAATAAATAAATAAATAAATAAATAAACTTTATTTTACAACAATTGCGAAATAAGCTTATAGTAATCACTTTTGTTGGCCCGGTTAAAAAAGCGCGCGAGGGATCTTACTGTTGAAGGAACCGGAGGACCCGGGGAAAATCCATGTGGTCGGGCACAACTGAAGATATTATTGTCTTGTGTGTCTCTTGTTTAATTCTTTCAGGACCTGAGATCGTATGTACAAAAGCTTGCATTATTTCTTGGGGTTTCTTCCGAAACGGAGTTCCTGGAGGCGGTGACTGATAAATGTACATTCCGAAATATGGCAGATGAGGCTACAAAAGAATTTACACCATCCGAACAATGGAAAGCTGTCATGAAAGACAAAAGGCTTCCAATCTATAGGAAAGGTAAATATTAGAGAACTGCACTACTGCCTCCTACCCCCCACCCCATCCCTTGTTTTTACTTTTCTTTCGATCCTTTTCCTTAGGCGTCTCTTTAGTTTTCAAAATTTAGGCTCTTAGCTTCACTGACGAGTTCTGGAAAGACTTATGCTGTAGTTTGTTTGGCTTTCCTGTATCTAACTCTGAATTGTGTGACCTTCGTACAATCTTTTAACTTTAAAAGTAATAATTTAAGCGGGAAATTTTTCTCTGTCCGAGGTATGATGTAGAGGACTACTTTCAGTCTAAGTACCAGAAAAATTCATACAAGTCCGCGGACATAAATGAAGATATTAAAGTCCTGTCTATACCGGTAATATTTGTTTCAGTCCGCGTTCCTATAAGGACCTGCCTTTAGCCTATCAAAATAATTTTCATTTGTAAAGTTGTAATATCCATGTAATAGGTTTATACAAGGCCAGTCCCAGTACATGTGTTATTTTTCTACGGCGAGAAAATGATTATGTGTTTGAGTTTAATTGTATGCCAAACAATGTTTATAATGTTTTAAATACGACAGAGACAGTGGAATGATATTTCACAATGCTTTGTCCCCACGTATCAGTTGAATTTCTTCACACATAATAAGTATAGATTTTCATGGTTACAGGTGAAATCGGAGATTGGAAAAACCATTTTACAGTTGCCCAAAGTGATTACTTTGATGAAGTTTACACGGAGAAAATGAAAAATTCAAGTTTTACTTTTCGATTTGTATAAATGAATGATAGGTGAGACATCGATTGGAGTTTTCAGAAGTCAGAAAGTATATTGAAAACGGTGAACCATGGCATAACAGTTTCCCAGAAAACTTCATTGTTGATAAACTGTGTTATGAGGGTATCAAAACGTATTTATATTATATTAAGGAGATTGTAGGGAAAAAAAATAAAAAAAAAAAAAAATGTTCACGTAAATATATGAAACAACGAGAAAAATGGTATGTTAATAGACAGATAAATCTTATTCATATATCTAATCTTCCAGAGTTACTTCCCTTCGTTTTATTATGTAATTCATATGGAATACTACTGATGCAATTGTCTCGGTACGCTTAATATAAACTTTCGTAATAACGTAATAACAAACTGAATTCTTAATTGCACATTCTATCAAATACTTTCTGTTCTGCTGTTGTTGGTAGAAAGACTTTCGAACACTAGAAGGAAAACTACATAAATAAACTCAATGATTACCAACCAGGAATTGTACTGAAGTAAAGGCTTCTTCAATCAGATGAAAAAAAAACTTCCTCTACAAATTCTGTCACCAAAGAGTGTCCGTGTTGCTGTCACGTGATTTATAACTGGATTACAATAGACTGGTATTCGTTTCTGACATTTGTTTACACTATTTCATGTTGGAAATTTACATTTAGTTATTTTATGTCATTCTGATGTCGGTGTCACATATTTAATATATTGTCCATTTTTTTACGTATTTCCAACATTTTCGGTATTTTCTTGATTTTAAGAGTTTCCGGTACAAGTTTCAAGCGTCCACTTTCATCACTTCCTTCCTCACTTACATTCCACTGATCTATAACGTTGAAAACTCTTAAGTTGACAACACCTTGGTTCGGTTTTACGGCAGGATCTTCCGACAAGCTACTTTTGTATTTATTCAGGAATAAACAGTTTACTTTTGTTGACTTGTTTGTGTATTCATTTAGGTAATTAACGATGTGTTGACTTAGGTAAACTTAAAGCATTTTAAATCAAGGACACCTCTGATTCTGGGTCATCCGCTTATTTGGATATGAACTTACATCTTCGTCAAAATGATATAATACTACTGAACTGCAAATAGGTGTAAAGACGATGTTTTCATTTTCAAACAAGTAACATCCCAGTTTTCTTAACACGCTGCTTATGTCCAAGTAGATACAACATTCAAAGTTAACAAAAAATGAACAAAAGAAATGTTAACAGAAGGAGAAAAAGACCACGTGTTTCGGAAGGATAAAGCGTCTTCTTTATCAAAGACAACTGCAAAAGTTTCCGAACAACATACAAGGGACGCTGGAAAACAAAAATTTGCATCAGAATAAAAACACAAGTGTTGTGCATTACGTGAAAACAAATTTGACCTGAGATGGAATTTCAGTTATAACTGAGGGATGAAAGTACTTTACAGGAGAAATACAGTATCATGTAGCACCAATGCAAGAGTTTTTATGGGAGAATGGTTTTATATAACAATCAAGCAAAGTCACAGTATTTTCCAGGTGGGAATATTTTAGTATTTTACAGATGGAGGGTCACAGTATTTTACAGATGGAGGGTCACAGTATTTTACAGAGGGAGGGTCACAATATTTTACAGAGGGAGGTTCACAGTATTTTACAGATGGAGGTTCACAGTATTTTACAGATGGAGGGTCACAGTATTTTACAGAGGGAGGGTCACGGTATTTTACAAAGGGAAGGTCACAATATTTTACAGAGGGAGGGTCACAGTATTTTACAGAGGGAGGGTCACGGTATTTTACAGATGGAGGTTCACAGTATTTTTACAGATTGAGGGTCACAGTATTTTACACCTGGAGGGTCACAGTACAGTATTTTACAGAGGGAAGGTTACGGTATTTTACAGACTAAGGATCACAGTATTTTACAGATTGAGGGTCACAGTATTTTACACCTGGAGGGTCACAGTACAGTATTTTACAGAGTGAAGGTCACGGTATTTTACAGACTAAGGGTCACAGTATTTTACAGATTGAGGGACACAGTATTTTACAGAGGGAGGGTCACGGTATTTTACAGATGGAGGTTCACAGTATTTTTACAGATTGAGGGTCACAGTATTTTACACCTGGAGGGTCACAGTACAGTATTTTACAGAGGGAAAGTTACGGTATTTTACAGACTAAGGGTCACAGTATTTTACAGATTGAGGGTCACAGTATTTTACACCTGGAGGGTCACAGTACAGTATTTTACAGAGTGAAGGTCACGGTATTTTACAGACTAAGGGTCACAGTATTTTACAGACTAAGGGTCACAGTATTTTACAGACTAAGGGTCACAGTATTTTACAGAGGGAGGGTCACGGTATTTTACAGAGGGAGGGTCACAGTATTTTACAGAGGGAGGGACACAGTATTTTACAAAGGGAAGGTCACAATATTTTACAGAGGGAGGGTCACGGTATTTTACAGAGGGAGGGTCACAGTATTTTACAGACGGAGGGTCACGGTATTTTACAGAGGGAGGGTCACGTTATTTTACAGAGGGAGGGTCACAGTATTTTACAGAGGGAGGGTCACAGTACAGTATTTTACAGAGGGAAGGTCACGGTATTAAACAGAGAGAGGTTTACAGAGGGAGGGTCACGGTATTTTACAGAGGGAGGGTCACAGTATTTTACAGAGGGAGGGACACAGTATTTTACAAAGGGAAGGTCACAATATTTTACAGATGGAGGGTCACGGTATTTTACAGAGGGAGGGTCACAGTATTTTACAGAGGGAGGGTCACAGTACCGTATTTTACAGAGGGAAGGTCACGGTATTTTACAGACTAAGGGTCACAGTATTTTACAGAGGGAGGGTCACGGTATTTTACAGAGGGAGGGTCACAGTACCGTATTTTACAGAGGGAAGGTCACGGTATTTTACAGACTAAGGTTCACAGTATTTTACAGAGGGAGGGTCACGGTATTTTACAGAGGGAGGGTCACAGTATTTTACAGAGGGAGGGACACAGTATTTTACAAAGGGAAGGTCACAATATTTTACAGATGGAGGGTCACGGTATTTTACAGAGGGAGGGTCACAGTATTTTACAGATGGAGGGTCACGGTATTTTACAGAGGGAGGGTCACAGTATTTTACAGAGGGAGGGTCACAGTATTTTACAGAGGGAGGGTCACAGTATTTTACACCTGGAAGGTCACAGTATTTTACAGAGGGAGGGTCACAGTATTTTACAGATGGAGGGTCACAGTATTTTCCAGAGGGAGGGTCACAGTATTTTACACCTGGAAGGTCACAGTATTTTACAGAGGGAGGGACACAGTATTTTACAGAGGGAGGGTCACAATATTTTTACAGAGGGATGGTCACAGTATTTTACAGAGGGAGGGTCACGGTATTTTACAGATTGATGGTCACGGTATTTTACGAATTGATGGTCACAGTATTTTACAGAGGGAGGGTCATGGAGGGTATTTTACAGAGGGAGGGTCACAGTATTTTACAGAGGGAGGGTCACAGTATTTTACAGAGGGAGGGTCACAGTATTTTACAGAGGGAGGGTCACAGTATTTTACAGAGGGAGGGTCACCGGATTTTACAGAGGGAGGGTCACAGTATTTTACAGAGGGGAGGGTCACAGTATTTTACAGAGGGAGGGTCACAGTATTTTACAGAGCGAGTGACATAGTATTTTACAGAGGGAGGGTCACAGTATTTTACAGAGGGAGGGTCACAGTATTTTACAGAGGGAGGGTCACAGTATTTTACAGAGGGAGGGTCACAGTATTTTTCCTATGGAGTGTCACAGTATTATATTGATTGAGGTTCACAGTATTTTACAGAGGGAGGGTCACGGTATTTTACAGAGGGAGGGTCACAGTATTTTACAGAGGGAGGGTCACAGTATTTTACAGAGGGAGGGTCACAGTATTTTACAGATGGAGGGTCACAGTATTTTACAGATGGAGGGTCACAGTATTTTACAGATGGAGGGTCACGGTATTTTACAGAGGGAGGGTCACGGTATTTTACAGATTGAGGGTCACAGTATTTTACAGAGGGAGGGTCACAGTATTTTACAGATGGAGGGTCACGGTATTTTACAGAGGGAGGGTCACGGTATTTTACAGAGGGAGGGTCACGGTATTTTACAGAGGGAGGGTCACAGTATTTTACAGAGGGAGGGTCACGTTATTTTACAGAGGGAGGGTCACGTTATTTTACAGATGGAGGGTCACGGTATTTTACAGAGGGAGGGTCACGGTATTTTACAGAGGGAGGGTCACAGTATTTTACAGAGGGAGGGTCACAGTATTTTACAGAGGGAGGGTCACAGTATTTTACAGAGGGAGGGTCACAGTATTTTACAGAGGGAGGGTCACAGTATTTTACAGAGGGAGGGACATAGTATTTTACAGAGGGAGGGTCACAGTATTTTACAGAGGGAGGGTCACAGTATTTTACAGATGGAGAGTCACAGTATTTTACAGAGGGAGGGACACAGTATTTTACAGAGCGAGGGACATAGTATTTTACAGATGAAGGGTCACAGTATTTTACAGAGGGAGGGTCACAGTATTTTACAGAGGGAGGGTCACAGTGTTTTACAGAGTGTAGGTCACAGTATTTTACAGATGGAGGGTCACAGTATTTTACACCTGGAAGGTCACAGTATTTTACAGAGGGAGGGTCACAGTATTTTACAGAGGGAGGGTCACAGTATTTTACAGAGGGAGGGTCACAGTATTTTACAGAGGGAGGGTCACAGTATTTTACACCTGGAAGGTCACAGTATTTTACAGAGGGAGGGTCACAGTATTTTACAGATGGAGGGTCACAGTATTTTACAGATGGAGGGTCACGGTATTTTACAGAGGGAGGGTCACAGTATTTTACAGAGGGAGGGTCACAGTATTTTACAGATGGAGGGTCACAGTATTTTACAGAGGGAGGGTCACAGTATTTTACAGAGGGAGGGTCACAGTATTTTACAGATGGAGGGTCACAGTATTTTACAGTAT